AAATGCTTTGGCATGAATATTTGTTGCAGGAAAATGAAGTACAAAAGTTGTATTTTTTCCTCCACAAATCTCGTCAATTATATTTAAATCTTTAGAATTAAGCATAATTTATACTTATTACGAAGGGCGTCTTCACGTTAGTAATTTTTAACTTAGTTAAGACTCAATTGCAAAGGGGTACGCATTTAATTCTTGAATGAAAGCCTGTAACAACGTGTAAACTATGCTATAATAACAACAGTGGGCACTATAATGAACTGTTTCAAATCTAACATTTTCCGTCTAGAATTCACCACGGCGAATTCCTTTAGGGATCACGTAGTAAATCTTTGTAAACATTTGGGGGCGCGGGGAGCGGAGGGCTAAAATAAAAAGCTGATTCAGACTGGATGTCAAACCAAGGCTACGAGTTCACATTATAACAACAATTTGTTGTTTTTCTTTCTTGTGGCAGGTGCATTCAGATTTTCCTGTCGTCTAATTTAGGTTTTCCGAGAGAAGCAGCAGGAAATTGCGTGATGCATGTATCTCTTATTTGTTACTCGCGCACGATTCAGTTGGTCCTTGTTTTTTATTGTGGCGGGTTACCTAAGCAGCGCAATCTGTAAAACGTCTGTACTGAGGAGAGCTAAGCGCGTTGGCCGCGGTCAGGACTCTAGGAGAACGGTTCCTTGCATCTGAACCATCAGCACGATTAAGCCCCTGCTTTGTTCCAGTTACAGTAATCAAAACTGTTTCTTCTTCTTCTTCTTCTTCTTCTTGGACAAGGGTTCTTTCCTCGGGGGTAATGCGGCCGGGGTGTGAAGCTGTACACTGAAGTGAAGAATAACCTCGATTTCTCATACGTCTTCTTGAAGTTGTTAATTAAGCTCTGAGAAATAACTTCAAGTTTACCTGTTGCTATTTCCCAGCGTTCACCTGGAGAAACTGAAGAAAACCACAAACGCCCTCAATCATTGCAAGAGATCACAAGGCTGCAGTTCGACACGTGCACTTCGAATCAGGATTTAG